CATTTTTTTGTTTTGTTTTTATGGATAGACTAGGGAAGGGTTAGAAGCTCACCTCACTTCCCATCACAATCCACGTAGGAATGGGGGATCTTCACAACAAGGATATTTTAGTCCCTATTCTAGTAATAGAAACTGGTATTTGTGTTCTCAAATATTTTCCTACACTTCCTGTGCAATGACCACACAGTAAGGGGAAAGCATATGGTCCCCATACTTGCTGGAGTGCCATATTAACAAAAGACACATTATTTGGGGCTGAACTTAAAGGGGAGCTCCACTCAAAAGGTAAAAAAAGCGAACAGTCAGCAGCTACAAAAACTTCTTCCGCTTCCGATCGCTTAGGTCAGGAGTCTCCAAACAAAGGGCTGGTTTACGGTCCTTCAGACATTAAGAGGCCCAGACTGCACCCAGTGGGAGTAGAAAATGCCTCATTTTTGGTATTATAGGGGGAACAGGGCCCCACCGTCAGTGGGGGGGGGGGCGTCAGTGGGGGGGGGGACAGGGCCCCACCGTCGGCGTCAGTGGGGGGGGGGGGGGGGGGGGGGGGGAACAGGGCCCCACCGTCGGCGTCAGTCGGGGGGGGGGGACAGGGCCCCACCGTCGGCGTCAGTGTGGGGGGGGGGGGACAGGGCCCCACCGTCGGCGTCAGTGTGGGGGGGGGGGGGAAACAGGGCCCCACCGTCGGCGTCAGTGGGGGGGGGGGGGGACAGGGCCCCACCGTCGGCGTCAGGGGGGGGGTGGGGGGGGGCCCCACCGTCGGCGTCAGTCAGTGGGGGGGGGGGGGGGGGGGGGGGCCCCACCGTCGGCGTCAGTGGGGGGGGGGGGGGCCCCACCGTCAGCGTCAGTCAGGGGGGGGGGGGCCCCACCGTCGGCGTCAGTGGGGGGGGGGCCCCACCGTCGGCGTCAGTGGGGGGGGGGGGGGGGGGCCCCCCGTCCGTCGGCGTCAGTCGGGGGGGGGGGGGGGCCCACCGTCGGCGTCAGTGTGGGGGGGGGGGGGGGGGGGGGGGGGACAGGGCCCCACCGTCGGCGTCAGTCAGTGGGGGGGGGGGGGGACAGGGCCCCACCGTCGGCGTCAGTGGGGGGGGGGGGGAACAGGGGCCCCACCGTCGGCGTCGTCAGTGGGGGGGGGGGGGGGACAGGGCCCCACAGGGACAGGGCCCCACCGTCGGCGTCAGGGGGGGGGGGGGGGACAGGGCCCCACCGTCGGCGTCAGTCGGGGGGGGGGGGGAACAGGGCCCCACCGTCGGCGTCAGTGGGGGGGGGGAACAGGGCCCCCCACCGTCGGCGTCGTCAGTGGGGGGGGGGAAACAGGGCCCCACCGTCGGCGTCAGTCGGGGGGGGGGGAACAGGGCCCCACCGTCGGCGTCAGTGGGGGGGGGGGGGTCAGTGGGGGGGGGGGGGAACAGGGCCCCACCGTCGGCGTCAGTGGGGGGGGGGGGGTCAGTGGGGGGGGGGGGGGGAACAGGGCCCCACCGTCGGCGTCAGTGGGGGGGGGGGGGAACAGGGCCCCACCGTCGGCGTCAGTGGGGGGGAACAGGGGCCCACCGGGCGTCAGTGGGGGGAACAGGGCCCCACCGTCGGCGTCAGTGGGGGGGAAGGGCCCCACCGTCGGGTCAGTGGGGGGGGGGGGGGGGAACAGGGCCCCACCGTCGGCGTCAGTGTCAGTGTGGGGAGGAACAGGGCCCCACCGTCGGCGTCAGTGGGAGGAACAGGGCCCCACCGTCGGCGTCAGTGGGAGGAACAGGGCCCCAATAGTGTGAATGCTCCCAACCTATCTGCAGAGCCGAGCTCCATAGATATACACAGTGGGACTTAGCCCTGCCCCCCCCCACTTCCTATTTGATTGACAGCAGACAGAGCCAATGGCACCTGCTGCTGTTTGAGTCAATGTGACCAGAGGAAGAGAGGGGAGAAGAGATGCAGCCGTGCACAGCACCGATCTCTTCTCCCCTCTCTTCCCCTTCACACAGGAAAGGGGGAGCACAGACAAACAAAAAATGGTTTTTACCTTAATGCAAGCAAAGCATTCGGTTGAAAAAAAAAGTTTTTTTAGGTTTAGAATAACTTTAATGCATTTATCCCCCCAGCATGAAAATATGACCCTTCTTGCGCATGAAGCAGTTTTATAATGAACACTAGAAATATATATTTAGCTGCCTTTTCTTCATATATTTAGCTGCCTTTCTTCACAAAGTTTGTATATGGATGGAAGCATGAACACTCAGTAAGCTTCCATTTCAACGCCCTCTTCCAGCCTGAATGCTTTTATAAGGTCAAGAAAGATTTCAAATATGGCGTGGCAGACTGTCACTTTCTTCTGTTTAAGCCCCAAGGCCAGGCAGAAAATGCAAGCTCAGCAGCGTTATAGTTCTGAACAAAGATTCTTCAACATTTCCTGAATGTACTCTAAAAATGACAACTTTCTCTCAGCATGTTTACATAGGTGAAAGTGAATTAATCCGATTCAACAATCTATTTTACCTTCGATACGAAGAGTAAA